GCAGGAGGGACTGAGGCTGCAGGACAGCGGTCCTCCCGGCCTGGGTACTGGGGAGGCGCCTGGGCCTCCGCGGGGTCAGAGCCCCCCCCCCCTCGCCCCCTCTTGCTCTCCCTTCCCCCTCGGGGCTGCCCTGCGAAGTCGCGGCGGATGGGGAACCTGGGGTCCCAGGACAGCTCTGAAAAGCAACCAGGGGAAATACAACCCCAAGGAGAAAACACGCATGAGCTGTGCACACAAATGGAGGGTGCTAGTATTTCCGTTTTTCTAATCCTCACCCGAGGAAAAAAATGGATACATATGTGTCTATAATTTAGCCCTAGCCGGGTTTACTCAATGAGTAGAGCTTGGGCCTGCGGACCAAATCAACGGATCCCGGGTTCGATTCTGGTTGCGCACGAAAGGGGCCATGTGCTCACCTGACTAGCTCAGGGAAGGCCTGCATGGCGGTTGTGTAAACTCAAGGCCTAAAACAACCACGAAGGATGGTCTGAAAATTAAATCTTTAACTACAAGCAGGTTGTGGTGGGTAGTCTCGTCCTGGGCCAGTATTTTCCCTGACAAAGACCCTTTGCTGAGCCTTTTGTCTTTTTGCATCTAAAATAACGTATCTGTGCCGAAACCGGTTTGGCTCAGTGGATAGAGCGTTGGTCTGCGGACTGAAAGGTCTCAGGTTCATTTCCAGTCAAGGGCATGTACCTTGGTTGCAAGCACATCCCCAGTGGGGGGTGTGCAGGAAGCAGCTGATTGATGTCTCTCTCTCTCATCAGTGTTTCTAGCTCTCTATCCCTCTACGTTCCTCTCTGTAAAAAATATATTTAAATAAATATATAAAATATATTAAAAAAAATAAAATAAAATAACGTACCTGTGAAATGTCTGGGTAACTTGTAACTTCCCTTTTTCTGGACCCCCCAGGGCACAACAAATGGCACTCACTCATTGTTATTGTCATGTTAATCGTCAACTACTAACTGTGTTAACCACCCTGTATGCATCTACTTAAAAAAAAACTAGTCCAGCTGGGACCGGTTTGGCTCAATGGATAGAGCGTCGGCTTGGGGACTGAAGGGTCTGGGTTCGATTCCGGACAAGGGCATGTACCTTGGTTGCAGGCATATTCCCAGTAAGGGGTGTGCAAGAGGCAGCTGATCAATGACTCTCTCATCGATGTTTCTAACTCTCTATCTCTCTTCCTTCCTCTCGGTACAAAATCAGTAAAATATATTTAAAAAAAAAAAAAAGCTAGTCCATCATTTCACTTTTTATCCTATGCCAGAGGTTTCCCGCTTTGCTTTCTCCCACCTCCCTAATCTATCACCAATGAATTTCATGTAATATTCCCTTTGATGGTAATTTATAAAAACGTAGTATGGCCCTAGTCGTTTTTTTGGCTCAGTGGATAGAGTGTTGGCCTGCGGACTGAAGGGTCCCAGGTTCAGTTCTGGCCAAGGGCACATGACTGGGGTGGAGGGCTCCATCCCCAGTAGGGGGCATGCAGAAGGCAGCTAATCAATGATTCTCATCAATGATGTTTCTCTCTCCCTCTCCCTTCCTCTCTAAAATCAATAAAAATATATATTTAAAAAACACACACACAAAAAAACAAAGTATGAACTCCCCATTTTCCGGAGCATATCCCAACCTGTTGAGATTCTTCCTGGCAATTGTCGACAGATTGGCTCAAATAAACTCACAACATTCTTCACAGGGTTGAGTGGTTTTTACGTGAACACGGTCAAGGGCCCTTTGGAGCCCGTGCAGGAGGCAACCCATGGGTGTGTTTCTGTCTTCCCTCTCCTTTCGCTCTCTCTAAAAGTCAATGGAAAAATATCCTTGGGTGAGGATTTAAAATATAGATAGACAGACAGACAGACAGACAGACATAGACAGAGACGAAGGGAGAAATACCCCTGTAAGAAACACCCATCGGCCGGGACCGGTTTGGCTCAATGGGTAGAGCGTCGGCTTGGGGACTGAAGGGTCCTGGGTTCGATTCCGGTCAAGGGCATGTACCTTGGTTGTGGGCATATCCCCAGTAGGGGGTGTGCAAGAGGCAGCTGATCGATGACTCTCTCACATCGATGTTTCTGGCTCTCTATCTCTCTTCCTTCCTCTCTGTACAAAATCAATAAAAAATAAAAAATAAAATTAGAAACACCCATCGGTTGCCTCCCATATGACCAGAATGGGTCACTTTCCCCTGACCCTTCTCCTTGGATTAATTGCCCTCCTGGTATGTGGCACTGTCCTCTCAACTGGGAAGGCTGTCCTCCTCAGTGGTTTTCCAGCCCCCCTTTGGACCCTACCATCCTCATGGCCCCGGGGGGAGAGTTGTGTAATGATGCTGACCATGTCCCTCTTCTTCATGAATCTGTCCCGACCTCCCACCTGTGATGAATCTGAAACCCCCACTGTGGCCTCCAGGCCCTGAGCCACCCACCGCTGCTCACCATTTCTGCCTATTGGTCTTCCTGCCCGGCTCCATCCAGGCCCTGGGCTCACCCCCCCCTCCCCCCACACACACACTACTTCACCCTTCAACTCCCTCTGGGGCTTTCTCAGGCTGCCCTCCGTGAGCCCATGGAGCCAGGCCCCTGCCAGACACCGTGGGCGGCCCTTTGCCCCAGCTTTCATGGACTTACCGGTCAGGAAGTTCTGTGTTTCCTGTCTGGCCCTGGGAGGCCAGCACTGTGACTTGTTTATCACTAGATCCCAGACACCCTGTCCTGGACAGACTTTAAGGAAGTGGAAGGGCCAGAAAGTGGCAGGAGAGAGAGGAAAGGGGGGAGAAATGAGGCTGAGCCTGGGTGAGTCAGACCAGGTCCCCTGCACTGCTCCTTTAGTGTTGACACTTGCATAGGAACTTGAAATGTTTCAAACCAAAGAAAATCTTTTTTTAAATTAATTAATTAATTTATTTATTTTTTAAAGAAGTAACTTTCTTAGTTTTTTTAAAAATATATTTCATTGACTTTGTACAGAGAGGAAGGGAGAGAGATAGAGAGTCAGAAACATCGATGAGAGTCATCGATCAGCTGCCTCTTGCACACCCCCCACTGGGGATATGCCCGCAACCAAGGTACATGCCCTTGACCGGAATCAAACCCGGGACCTTTCAGTCCCCAAGCCGACGCTCTATCCACTGAGCCAACCCGGTCCCGGCCAAAGAAAATCTTGACACTGCTGGCCCGACTGTGTGTTCCCGGCATGGCTCAGCCCATGGCACTGAACATCTTCCAGGCAGATGGCGGCCACTCAGGAGGGAGATGGGCCTTTGCTGTGCCTTCGCCCGGGGCCCCCAAGTCAGCCAGGCCCCTCACTGGGGACATGAATGCCCACTCAGTCTGCAGCTCCCTGGCAGCAGCCAGAGGGGTCCATGATGCCACACTGAAGGGAGTGGGCAGGCCGGGCCATTCCTCTCTCCCCGCCCAGGCTGGGCCTGCCCGGACACCAGGCTGAGTGGGATGAAGCCACGCCTTGCCTGCCCCTCTCCTCTCCTCTCCTCTCCTTCACTCCTGCTTCCCAGGCGGCACTCCACCATCACCCGTTTGGTCCTGAGCAACTCCTCCTACATTCTTACCATCAGACAAAACCTGCCCCCCAAAGGATTACTCAGAACAGAGGAAAGGAGGAACTGGTGGGTTAGGAACCTATCTAAATCTAGAATTAAGACAAAAGAACATCTCAAATTATGGTTGCAGAATATAAATGTTACAGACAAACATGCTCTAAAAATAAAACAGCGAAGTGGAGAGCTGGCAAGGAAAATGTGCTGAGCAACTAGCTCTCCTAAGATCGTGTCAATAGCTATTGATTAATACATTTAGAAAGTGGTGTTTTAAAACATAAGGTCTCTAAACCCTATTTTACAAATACTAGTAAGCCCAGCCGGCGTAGCTCAGCAATTGAGCATCGACCTATGAACCAGGAGGTCACGGTTGGATTCCCAGTCAGGGCACATGCCCGGATTGTGGGCTCAATCTCCAGTGTGGGGGTGTGCAGAAGGCAGCCAATCAATGATTCTCTCATCACTGATGTTCCTATCTCCCTCTCCCTTCCTCTCTGAAATCGATAAAAATCTATTTTTCTAAAAAACAAGCCATTTCTTGTGCCCAGTGGCAGTTTGCAAATAATGAGGGCCACTAGTGGTGAAGCAACCGAGGCTGGGGGTCTCTCGGGGACCCTGACTTCTGGTGGGAGAACTGTGGAGTCCTCCTCCCACCTCCTCCCGCAGGGGCAGCACCAGGGGCTAGGGAGGGGTTCAGGCTCCTGGTCATCTCTCAGCCCCCAACCCACCTAGAAGGAACATGATGGGAGCACCACACATTTATCAGGGACCGCACCCCAGGCTGTAGGCCCTGCTCAGCAGAACCCGGGGCTGCGGTGATGGCAGAGCCCCCGTGTGAGGGGCTATCAGTCCAGTGTGGCTGCCTGGAGGAGGTGGGCCTCCTGAGGCTCCAGCGAGGGGACAGGCCTGGAGGGAGTCAGGGCGGTGGCTGGATCAGCTTCCTAGGGAGTCAGGGCTGGAGATCCCACTGCCCCTTTCAGACCAAGGCAGAAGGAAGGGTACCTCAGAGACCCACGTGGTCTCTTGGCCAGGGGCTGGATTTCCAGATCGAAGGAGCCCTGGGGTGTGAGGGTCTGGGGGACCGAGGCCCTTGAGAGCCCCCCTGAGTCTGAAAGACAGCCCAATCCGGGCAGCCCTGGGGAAGGACCATGTGAGGGCTGGTGGGGTTGGAGTGGGCCTCAAAGGACCCCAAATCCTGGAATTTTTACAACCTGCTCATGATAGGATCTAGCATATATTTTATTTTATTTTATTTTATTTTATTTTATTTTATTTATTTTAATCTTTCGTTCTGCTTACAAAAGTAACTTGAGCTTGAGCTGAAAAACATTACACAATGTCGTCAGTGAAAATCAGCTGGGGCGGGGCCCCAGGCAGAAGTCACAGCCAAGTTCACTGAGCCATCAAGGACGCCTGCCGGCCGTTGCCAGGGTTACGGAGCCTCGCTGGGCCCCACAGAGGACTCCTCCCCGCCCTCTGCCAACCTTCCGTCTTCTTTTCCTTCTGGAAGAGAATGGGGTGGGTCAGGAGGCTTCAGGGGGAAAGGAGGGGTGAGGGTGTGGCACAGACCGGATTCCCTGAGCTCTCAGCCCACCAGGCGGTGATCTGGGCACTACCTACCGACTTAGAACATTGCCAACTCCAGACACACGCTCCCAAAGGCCACAGAGGCTGCTAAAGTCATTTCCAGGAAACTCTGGGCCAAATCTGGGCTGAGGAGCAGGAAGCTGCTGCTATGCCCAGGGCCTGGCCGGGGATGGAGCACGAGTGGGGGAAGATGGGATGGCAGCTGAGGGGGTTGTTGACCTGCTGCAGTACCTGCAAGGGAGCCTGTGGGGCAGAGAGACAGCCCCGAGGGCCACTTGTGGTGAAGCAACTGAGGCTGGGGGCCTCTCGGGGCCCCTGGCTTCCAGTGGGAGGAGAACTGGAGTTCCTCTCCTTCCTCCTCCAGCAGGGGCAGCACCAGGCGCTAGGGAGGGATTCAGGAGTACTTGCTCTCCATCTCTCCATCTGAGGAAGGTGGCTTTGGTTCGAATTCTCACAATAGCGTGTATGGGGTAGAGCTTATCTGGCTGCAGAACCTGGCAGATGCCTGAGCTGAGGTCTCAGAGAGGGAGGAAAGACCCTGGAGCTGGCCCAGCCCACTGAGTTGAGTGGGAAGACAGACTCTGAGCCCGATGTCCCCCCTTCACCCTCTGCAGGGATCCGCTGTGGCTTCAGGGTAGAAACTTGGCCTCTGAATCCTGCTTTCCAACAGGTCACGGGACAGCACCCTCCTCCCCCTGGGGCCGGCAGGAGGAAGCAGGTATGCCCACGGAGGCCCCGAACCAGAACTGGCTGGTACAGGTGCTCACAGAGTGCAGTGGGCACACTGCAGAGGGGCCTCCAGGTTCTGGGGAGATAGGGTCCCCAATTCCCTGATTACAGCTCCTGAGGGGGTCCTCAGGCCTGTAGCTGGGGTGTCCCTATCTCAGGAGCCTTAATGTCTCAACCTTGGGGAAGTAGAAGGACCCCCTCCCGTGACTTCAGAGCACTCACCACTATTTCCATCAACGAGGAGAGGTCCCTTGTACGGCCCAGCTACCTGATGGAAACCAGGAATCTTTGGTTTCCCTTTCCCGGGACTGGTTACCAAGCCCAGTGCCCTGACTCCAAGGAGGCTGCCCGTGCATAGGCAGCAAATAGGGCCAGTTGCTGTGGGTTTTTCTCTATCTTCTTAGGGCACAGCAGACCCTATTTCTGGTTGGGAAGAAACCTTAGTGCATCTCCTTCCCAGCTACTAGGCATTCCCTCCCCCAGGCATCCCTCAGGTTCCCATGTTCTAGTCACTGGCAACAAGCCTGGGGCATCAAATAGACTTTGGCACAAAACTATGCACACACAGACCCCCATAAATACACAAATACACAAGAGCAGACAATGGGTGGGTTTGATCCCCTGTCAAGTGCACATACCTCGGTTGCAGGCTCGATCCCTAGTCTGGATCAGGGTGTGTGCAGGAGGCAATCAATCAATGTGTCTCTCTTACATCAATTTTTTTTTTTCTCTCTCTCCCCCTCCTCCCTCCCTTCAATTCTCTAAAAATCAGTGGAGCCTTAACCAGTTTGGCTCAGTGGATAGAGTGTTGACCTGTGGACTGAAAAGTCCCAGGTTCGATTCTGGTCAAGGGCATGTACCTTGGTTGCAGGCTCAGCCCCAGTGGGGGCTATGCAGGAGGCAGCTTGTTGATGTTTCTAACTGTCTTTTCCTCTCCCTTCCTTTCTGTAAAAAAAATCAATAAAATGTTTAAAAAATATTATAAAAATAAAAATCAGTGGAAAAGGTGAGGATTTAAAAAAAAAAAAAAGAGCAGACAGAAAATAGGCCTAGGACATAGACACACAAAGACACACACACAGAGACATACCTTCCCAGGCTAATACATACGTAGACACAGAACCCTAGACACACATGCATGGAGGCCACAGACACGCAGACACGCTCACAGCACAGGCAGCCCAGCCTGCCTGTCCCCTCGGAGGTGCCGGGTCAGGGACCTCCAGCCCAGGGAGGTCTCGCTCGGTTTTGCTCGCTGGGCCGAGGGCCTCACCTGCGTCCAGCTTCCTGCGTTTCTGCTCGGGCTCCTGGGGGGCCGCTTCGATGGCGCGCTGGGGCTCGGGGTGGATCGTGAGCAGGGCCTTGGCCAGGGTGGTGGGGCCGGGCACCCCCAGAGACATGATGCAGTGCACCCCTCTGCGCTTGGCCGCGGCCACTTTGTCGCTGTCCTTGGACGCTGTCAGCAGGACCAGCTTGGAGAACTTCCTGGGCTTCTTGGGAGCAGCCGTAGGGACGACATCTGTGCCCGGCTGGGGGGACTGTGGGCGCGGCTCCTGGCCCGCCTTCACGCTCTCGCCCTCCTGCTCGCTGGGCTCAGGCAGGGGCATGTTGGGACCCACGGCCGGTCCCCCAGGCCACACTCAGGCTCCAGGAAATGGATTTCTCCTCCTTCCTGGCAGTCCTGGGGCTCTGTCCTACAGGAGAAAGCAAACCCCCATCAGGGAAGCCAGGGCTCGAGGAGAATGGGTCTGGGGCGCAGTTTGGGCAGATGGGGCACCACGATGGGCAAGGACCCAAATGGGACTGGAGAAGCCCGGGCCAGCTCCCCTCTTCCCAGACGTCACCTCCTCCATCCAAACCTCCCCCCCACCCCCACGTGTAAGTGTGCTTTTACAATTAAGTCCCACCATTGGTGGGGGAGGGAGAGGAGGCTGTTGGGGATTAAGATACTGATAACGGCCGAAACCGGTTTGGCTCAGAGGATAGAGTGTTGGCCTGCGGACTCAAGGGTCCCAGGTTTGATTCTGATCAAGGGCACGTACCTTGGTTGTGGGCGCACCCCCAGTAGGGGGTGTGCAAGAGGCAGGTGATTGATGATTCTCTCTCATCGATGTTTCTAACTCTCTATCCCTCTCTCTTCCTCTCTGAAAAAAATCAATAAAATGTATTTTTTTTTTTTAAAGATACTGATAACTGTTGCTGCAAACCCAGGTGCATGGGTGCTGAGCATGAAGTGACGTGTTTCGTGTTTTTTCCATTTAAGCTCCCGCCCCATGTTATGAAAGTCCACCATTCTCACCGACCCAGGTTACAGGTGAGGACACGGAGCTGCCAGGGTGGCCAGCACAGCCAGGGAGGCCGGCTGGGGAGGAGCTGGAGCCCACCCCCCACGGCGCCCGGCACGCCGTGTCCAGGGTGACAGTCACTGGCGCTCCTGAGCACCCAGCACCAGCGACAAGCACTGGGGACATGAGCTCAGGTCGCCGACCTTCCCGGAGTTCCCAGCGCCCCTTCGCCCTGACGCTCTGCAGACCAGAGCTCCTGCCCTGAGAGGTGGGACTCTGGACTCACAGCTAGATCCCGTGCCCCCCCAGGCAGGAGGCGGGCCCCCAGCGCTCAGGAGGTGCCAGGGCCCCCTGAAGGCAGCACCTTGTGCTGGCGCTGGCGCTGGCTCTGTCTCAGCCGCAGCGGGGTGGGACGGCTGTGCGGCTGTCCGGAGGGTCCGTGGTCACTGAGGGCTCCCTGGCTGCTGGCCTGGAGAAGCAGAAAAGACAGATTACAGGGAAAGACCATGGCCCTGGGGCATAAGCATGGGTGGCCTTTTTTTTGTTTTGGGGGCAAGTAGGTGGTGAGCGGATGGCAGGTCTTCCCAGGTTACCGTGCTAGCCAGAAATAATGCCACAGCCTGGGGAGACATCTTGCCTGCCCTGCCCAGGCCCAGGCTGCAGCAAAGCCCACACATGCCTCCTGGCACCCTCAGTTCTCACCGTCTCCTTTCTCCTGTGTCCTCACGTGGTCATCCCTGTGTGTGTCCACATCCTAATATGTTCTTTTTTTTTTAAAATATATTTTATTGATTTTTTTTTTTTACAGAGAGGAAGAGAGAGGGATAGAGAGTTAGAAACATCGATGAGAGAGAATCATCGATCAGCTGCCTCTTGCACACCCACTACTGGGGATGTGCCCGCAACCAAGGTACATGCCCTTGACCGGAATCAAACCTGGGACCTTTCAATCCGCAGACCGACGCTCTATCCACTGAACCAAACCGGTTTCGGCCTAATATGTTCTTACAGACTCTGCCCAGATTGGATCAAAGCCAACCCAATGTGACACAATTTAACCTTAATCACCTCTTGAAAGGCCCTTTCTCTAACACAGTCACATTCTGAGGTCCTGAGGGCTAGAACTTCAACACATGGGTTTGGGGGCAGGCACAGTTCAGCCCACAGCAGCACCGAGCATGGTGAGTGCCTGATAGACACAGCGTGTGGTAGCTCTATACCCTGATCCCAGACTTCCATGCACATGCAAACCAGAGCGTGCTCCGGGAAGGCAGGAGCACGCAGGGCCTGCGCATGACACTAGGGGCGATTTTCGCAGTAAGGAGCCCTCACGCCAGCTGGATCTTCGCACAACTGCCACCACAGTTCCAAAAGCTCTGCCTGTCATGCAGGGAGCCACATAGGCTTATATGGGTTTCCCCCCACTATAGGTCACCATCCAAATTTTAAAAATATGAAAAATGCTTGTGCTGAAACCAGTTTGGCTCAGTGGATAGGGCGGCGGCCTGCAGACTGGAAGGTCCCGGGTTCGATTCCGGTCAAGGGCATGTACCTTGGTTGCAGGCACATCCCCAGTGGGGGGGGGGGAGGGGGAGGGATGCAAGAGGCAGCTGATCAATGTTTCTCTCTCATTGATGTTTCTAACTCTCCCCCCCTCTCTCTTCCTCTCTGTGAAAAATCAATAAAATATATTTTAAAGAAGAAAAGAAAAATGCTTGTGAAAACCACTTTCATCAAGATCTTTCCATTTGAAAACATGTTCCTGCACAATAAACAGCTCCTCTACGTGGCTGGCAGCACTCTTAATTTACACGGATTTAGTTTTCTCACCAAAGGAAAGCAAAGAGATAGATTACATTGAGGTTATTTAAAAAATTTTTTTAAAATGTATTTTATTGATTTTTTTACAGAGAGGAAGGGAGAGGGAGAGAGTTAGAAACATCACTGAGAGAGAAACATTGATCAGCTGCCTCCTGCACACCCCCTACCGGGGATGTGCCTGCAACCAAGATACATGCCCTTGACCGGAATCGAACCGGGGACCCTTGAGTCTGCAGGCCGACGCTCTATCCACTGAGCCAAAAACGGTTAGGGCTGTTTTTAAATTTTGAAGTATTTAATTGAAAAAGTAATACTGAATTCATTAAACAATAATAGTAAATCTGTATAATTGCACTTCTTATCACAAACTGCTTTCATTTCTGCACTGTTTTCTACATACATTTTTTTTCATAGCTACAAGCAGAGCCTTCAAATAATCATATTTCTGTTTTCTTTCCATTTATTAGGATAGAAACCACCAGCCTAGAGGCCAGATAGAAAGACCCCCTAGGAAGTGCCAGAACAAAATTTAATTTACCCTGTAATTGTAGAAAATTCAATTTAAAGTTTAAGCAACAATATTCTAGAAGGCCACAAGATAGCGATGTTGCTCCTTAAAATGAACCATTTTTCCAAGATGAAAAAAAAGGACACAAGGTTTAAAAAGGATAGAAGGTTTTGAAGTGTTTATATTTGGTTTACAAAAAAAACATTGTTAGAAAGTCCAGTGAACACATTTAAAAAAGATGATCTTTTCTCGGCTAAACAACTGTGCATTTAAAAAAAAAAAAAAGACCAAGAACTTTGATCCCTGTCTTGTGTCTTTCTCTCTCAAGCCACTTGTCTCTCCTTTTATTTATTCTCCATCCCAGTCATATTTATCATGCACTTACTAATTTTATTTGACCCATTCTTAACTTAGAAAGCAGGTGCTTTTTAGTCTGTTTTCAAAGAATTATATTAAAACTAGAGGCCCAGTGCACAAATTTGTGGATGGGTGGAGGCCCCTCTGTGTGGCCTGAGGGGATCGGGCCGAAACCCGCAGTCCAATGCTGCCTGCAGCTCCTACCTGCCACTCCCGCTCCCGGCCCACTGTGCCTGCTGCCGGCTCACGCCAAATCAGTCCGGATCCGGGAGAGACTCGCTCTGCTACAGCAGGGCTGGCCAGCCGTGAGCACTGCGACTGGTGCTCTCGCGAGGGGAGTGGCCTGCAGGATGAGCTGAAGCCAGCTCTCTGACCTCCCCTGAGGGGGTCCCGGATTGCGAGAGGGCACAGGCCAGGTCAAGGGACCCACCAGTGCACGATTAGGCTGGGGAGGGACTGATGAGGGCTCCAGGGCATGTCTGGCCCCCTCTAGCCCACTCCCGATTGGGGCTGGCCAGCCAGAGAGGGACCACGGGAGGGCTCCAGGACAGGTCTGGCCCATCTTGCTGAGTCCCGATTCACTGGACCTCAGCAGCAAGCTAACCTATTAGAGCATCTGCCCCCTGGTGGTCAGTGCACATTATTGTGACTGGTTGACCAGTCAACTATCTGCCCCCTGATCGTCAGTGCATGTTATAGTTGTTGAGCGGCCTTAGCATATCATTAGATATTACGCTTTGATTGGTTGAACAGTGGACTGATCACCAGACGACCAGACACTTAGCATATTAGGCTTTTATTAGATAGGATGCATTAAAGCTAACTAAGAAGTATTCATCAAACTGTTAGCAGTGGTGAGAATGAGGGATTTCATTTTTGCTCATTTTCTTTTTTTTTTTTTTTTTAATAATTCCCCCAAATTGTAATGTGCATGAACTATTGTAATTTTACAATGGGAGAATATTTAACATTTAAAAAATAAGATACACTTACTGAGCTGGTAATTTTCCTTTTAGTCAACTACTTAGAAAAAAAAGGGTCTCCATTCCTGTGCAGCATAATGTCATATAAGAAAACGAAGATTAATACAAACAACTAGAATGTAAAATGAATACAATTAAACTAGAGAGAGGGGGGAAGAGAATACACACCCTGCCCCTCCAGCACTCCTAAATGCCATTTACAGAGGAAACTGCATCCGGGACTTCAGAGTAAGTCCTCAGGATATAACCCAAAGAATAAAATGCATACCCATAAGCCCACACTGATATAAATGGGGAAGGACAAATCCTTATGCAGAATTTCAAAAACACTTCCTCCTTTAGGAGGTGAAGGTTAAATCTGACCCTTGATATGGGGGAAAGGATATACTTTTCACAGATGTTGAATGTTGGGACAATTGGATATCCAATACAAAGGAATGAAGATGGACCCCTCCTCACAGCATATACAAAAATTAACTTTAAATAGATCATAAAAGCTAGTTATAAAACTCTTTTTAAAAAAGATAGCAGTTAAGTCTTCATGCACTTGGATTGGCAATTTTTTTTCAATATGACACCTAAAAGTACAGGCAAACAAATAGGAATCAGATAAATTGAAGAAGATTTAAAACTTTTGTGAGTCAAAGGATACT